TAGAAGATTAACAATACCAATTAAAGAACGGCAAATAGATTATCACTAAAATGAGGTGCACGACATTAGATATAAAATTTAATATTAACTTTAAAGCGCAATAGAATACATATAGTATGTCACGATCATTATTCCAAGAGAAACAAAATACAATAAGAAAAGTAATATCCACATATACATCAGTCTAAAATGCATGTACAGACTGTTTCAATGAAAAGTAACTAAGTTTTAATAAAATTATTATAGAAACTCTCTAAATGAAATAAGTAACAAATCGCAACATTCAATCAATTAATCGGTTTTTGAATTGTACATTACAAACATAATCAAGACTGTCTTATGACCGGATAAATTATTGGTTTGTTTGCATTCCTATTAAATTCTATTCATAGTGACAACGTGACAGTTAAAATTCATAACAAGTACAGTCTGTATATCCCCGAAACCGACTATTTCTCATGCGACTGTAGCAAGAACTATAAAGCAAAGGTAAAAACAACTGATATAGATTGGTTCAATAATAAAATTATTTATCATGGTTTTACCTACAAATTACAGATCTGTAATTTTTTTTATAACAAAGAGCAAACGAGCGTGCTGCTGATGATAAGTGGCTACTGTCGCTTATAACCATCTGCAACATTGGAGAAATTGCAGGTGTGTTGCCGGTCTTTTAAAGATTCCTTTTCTTCGCTTCTTCCTTGAAGTTGTAGAATATATGCATCCTACGTAAAGTGCTACGACGAACCGGAGAGAGACCGTATAGTGATGTTGCCAGTAAGGAAATAATTATTGAGAAAATAATACTGGTATGAGGCAATAATATCTGGTTCGCCCTGACACATTAGTTTCAATAGATAAATACTTAATAGTTTCAAGCAGTTCAAACTGAGAAAGTAATTAGACTATGTTTAAGTTAAGATTTGGTATCGAAACAGGTTTTGCACGAATACTTCATGCACTGGACGCAGCTTCAACAAATTGTCCTTGTATTAAGTGTAAACACTATTGTTTAATCACGTGGCTACCATCCATTATGATCTGATAAAGGGGTTCACGCCAATAAACCTTTGTTCAGTTGCCATTCTGTCAACAATGTTAGTAGAAACGACACCATTCTGATAAATCGTGTTTACTATATTTCTACTTTCAGTTGAGTTGTAATGCACAAAAAATAACAATATAATAAAACGGTTATTACCCTTATACATTCTACAGTTTTCTTTCAGCTTCTCAAAGGTTGACTGTAAGAGATCCCTTTATGGGATAAGTCCGCCATTGTATATTAAATCTTTTGATGTATTCCGTATGAATTATGTACAATAAAGATATTAAAATACAATACAATTTTACTTTGTTAAGTTGTAAAGGTCAATATTTTATAATGGCTCATTCCAAATATGCTAATAGTCAATACAGAAAGAGGAAAAGGATTTTAGAAACAAACTAAGATTTTAATTTAATTTATTAATATTATTTAGTAAGTCCTTAGACGACACACACTTAAGATCTGCTAAATCTTATTTATAATAGCTACTAAACATAAAATCTTAAAAATAATTTAAATATGAGTGTTTCAAGATTAAATGTAGACAAAGTGTTAAGTAGTTTGACAAACAATCAACAAACAATGACATGGAAAATTCCATAGCACTGTTTATAAATATAACATATTAAAAAACTATATTAATGTATGTAAATGTATGGAACAGACAACTCAGAATCAAAATGTTTATAGTTCATGCAGATGTTGATTTAATGGCACATTAGGATTGACTTTATTTTATTAATATAGTAGGAATTTGAAAAAATAACAGAAACTGTACACAGTTATATGTGCTAGATTAATTTTATGTGATTTTTAGTATTTAGAGAGAAAAGTTTTGAAATTTTATATAAAAAAATCCGTAATTATTATACTTCTATTATTATGTAGTATGTAATTATATGCTATTTTAATGTTAATAATAATATTTCTTTCATTTAAAGTTATAAAGTACATGTTGTACTGATATTTTTTTGGGTAAGCGTAGATAGATAGAGACTGCAAAGTTCATCCAGATGATCAAATAGATAAACAAATAATCATCGAAATTAACGTAACAAGTCTGTTTTTAATTGAGCAAATAGGATAAAGAAAAATAAGTAAAAATCGTTTTTGAAAATTGTAACAGTGTATCCTGTCTTCAAGGACTGCTATAATGCTCAGTAAACCGTTGGTGAAGGTAATAATGTCTCGGGAGGACAACGACCCGACCGTCTCGAATCGTATATTGCAATTCAATTTTATAATACAGACCACTGGGTTCATTGTACATAGTTGTAGTTGATTCATTAGATGGGATATAGATAACAGTACAAATTTATTCGATGCGATTTGTGCTCTATCAATCTTATGATTTTAATTTGTTATTATTTAGTAGTAACATAAAAATATTAGTTGCTACTTAAAGTAGCGTAAAGAGGACAACGGCCGTCGCACCTGGGAGGTGCAATGCAAGCTCACTAACGACTGGAACGGTTGCTATTTTTACACCGACCACTCTATCTTATTTACTATTCTGGTCCGCGACTCATTGAATTGTGGTTATTATGTGCAAGTTGGATATATGCCAACTATACTCAGACCTAACACGCCGATAGTGAGATATTCGTAGAATGATACGATGGTCAAATGATACCGGGAAGAGCAACTCTTAAAATGGCTTATCGAATTAAAAAGTTATAAAGTCAAGGCTAATGATTAAGGCGGATCTTTAAAGAGACAGTAAATTTTATCAGATTCAAGTTTAGTAATTTAGTAGTTTAGTTTTAGTAATTTTTACTTCCGGTTTTACGTTATCATTAACCAACTTCATAGCTAGACATAGGCTTCTTGCAAGGCATACTGCAATTTATAATATTGAACAAACATATTTTGTAAAAGTTGTTATTATGTCCTACAAATTGCTATTTTGATATAACTTGATTATATAGGTTTAGCTGACGGGTTCGTTTACATATGATACGAGCAAGTGACTGTCGACGAGCAATAAGAGAAGAAACCACGTCAAACCGGCGAGTGAGCGAAGCGGTGGCAACGATAAACCGGTCGGCGGCGCCGGGCGTCGAGCGTCGGCCGCGGGGATCGACCGAGGATTATCACCTTGTAAACAAAATTGCACGAGCTTTGTTTTTGATGTGACTAAGTGAATGGTCATGAGTTTGACAGATGTAATGGGAAGGTTTCTTTCTTATAATGCTACATGTGAAGTAGATCCCCAGATATGGTAGTTGAAGATGAAGATACATTACGTGTCTGTAAATTTTCAATGTTCATATAAAAGGCTAACCGGATATTTTTTATACGGCCAGTTAGAGAACATTGAATAAGACAGCAATTAAGACTCGGCGACAAACTGTCGATCAATACAAATCTACTAAGCACTTCAAGTCGAACTTTAAATGGCAAGGTCGTCGCGTAGTATGCGTGGAGGAGTATGGTTCGCGAGGTGAATAATTCGGTTTTCGAAATTGTTTAGGGTAAAAAGTGTATACTGAGCACAGCGACAAGCAGCAAAACGAAATCGGCTAAGTGGGTCATCATATAATTTCGCAAGCGTATCGAGTGCCGCAAGCGTGAACTGGTACATTCGAGGCGAGTCAAGGCCCGGTGTCGATGAGGCCCCGTTCCTGACAGCTTCGTCTATGCTTAGGTGCTATGCATCTTCATTATGTTTGTTACTTATGACTCCTATGACACCAGCACTAATAATTCAGCTCATCGCTTACAAGGTAATAGGTACTTTATAATACGTAGGTATTTGTGTAATACATTGGTTGTTACTAGGATTGTTTGTAGGCTTTTTTACCATTTGTTCTTTATTATGAAGTAATATATTATATTTTTTTATATGCTAATATATTAATTTTAACTTGGAATATCAAACGGACTATCTGATGGAAATTAGATTCATTCAGAACTTATAACATATATTCTTATCCCTATAACGATATAGTAATAAGTTAATGACAATTCAAATTAAGTTTGTTTCAATAAAGAATATTATTATTCTATCCTTTCCTTTAATTTCGCTTACACGGATGTGGTGTTCATTTACGTTAATAAAAAGGAAACCATCTGTAAAATATTATGTTTCTCAACCAGGTATTTAGATTTATAGGTTAAGAATCAATCAGTTTGTCCTATTATAGCGAACGGATAACCGAGAAACAATAAGAAAATAATTAACAGTAATTATAACATCTTTCCTAATAATTTCTCGTTTTAAATTGAATCATAATAACTATGTGCATTCGCATTAAAGGAAAATGATGTAATTATTTACTTGCATCCGCTAATTTGATTATAATGGGAGGACTCTACTAGGTAGTTATGTGTACTATCTACGTTATGTTGTTTTAGGCATCGTAATAAATTACTATTTACTTAGCAGTTTTCGTAATAGTGCAACCATGACATGACTGACTCAAGTAAAATATCAAATTGTCTACTTACATTATGCAAGTAAAGAGGTACACTTGAATGAATAAAATTTTGAATTAATTCGCTATTAATAATTAAGTATTGCTTAATAGTTGTATGAAATGTCCGAAGTGATAAGGTCATTGAGTTATGTAAAGTGTACGGATAAGTACGTGCATGATATCTAATTATTATATCATAACTTGAGAAACAAGGAGGAAACACATAGAAGTGAAAGGTTTTATGAGTAATCTATTATAAGAAAGATATGCATTTTTAAATAAATGTTTTGAAATATAAATATTATAACTTAAAAATCATATTTTGATATTTATTGTTTGATTGAAATAATCGAATGGAAACTTGCATCGTCTACGGCGACAAATTCTCTTACCGCTTCAAATTATTTTTAATTGCACAATAAACATTAAAATATTTTCCTTTATTTATTATATTCTTTTATTTTTGCATAACAATAATTTGTAATTAATAAGTGTGTAATCATAAACGCATATATATTTTGATTAGAACTTACCCCTTCATTTCCGGGTAGGAACTGTATCGTAGGTTTACCCAATTTGCCCTGAAACAAAAAGTTATATAAGTTAAGTAATACCTAATAAATGCGATATAAAATAACTAAACAACAAACTATGTAATAATAATAATTTTGTATCAAATACACAGTATTACTTTTGCCTATTCTACGTAATGAAATTAAATATGATAGGTATACAATTATGCAAAAATACTATAGCAGTTTCTAATTAAGTAATGGTGTTGTTGATTAGTCAACAAAATATTTTGTATCCAAACATTTTTTTTATTATATATATTAATCGATTTTTTTTCCCGAAACCCAAGTACCAAAAGGGTGGAAAAATTTATGGTACTTTTCGTATGTATTTCGGCTTTGAGAGACTTTATACGAAGCTGCCTGCTTGTCTCACTTTATTTTTTCTTTTTCGTTAAAAAGGCACCAAATAACAATGTAATTACTTGCTCAATACTATTAGGTTAGTTAATTATCCCAATTGTGACGTCACATAGGTGGTTAACTGTATCGCAAGAATTTGTGCGCACGGTGACCGAATATTTGATTGCCACTGTCGCTCTGTCACCATCGTGGTTGTTATAAAAATATGTATCTGTATAAAAATATATTTGTATGATTTAACAAAAGGAGTCGTCTTGAATCGTGACAAATTGACTATGGGAACGTACGTGGAGCAAACATATAGATTTACTTTCGTGTTGATAATAACAATAGATTTATTTTCTCTTCACAAATCATAACAGTAAAATACAGTGAGACATGCTTATATTAAAGTAATCAAATTATAAATATAATTGTGAGAGACTGGTGCTTGAGATAGGTATGAAAATACCTGTATTACAGGTCACCAGGTCATATAATAATAATCACTAAAATAGGTTTACAATTAACAAAGATATTATGTAACGTATACAAAAATTTACAATTTTCTTATTTTAAATTAAGCATTTTAAAAACAACCGTCTATTTGCATAAATCTATTTACAGATTATTTTTAAGACCTTTCCATTTACATTCATTCATATCAGCCGTTAACTGTCCACTGCTGAACATAGTTCCCATAAGCTAGGTTTTGCCAGTAGTTGTCACGCTTGGCAGGCGGATTGACAACTGCAGTTAGGTTTTTGATGACATTTTAAGAGGGACACTGCTGTCCATAACTAGACCATTAAGTTTCTTAGTTATCTCTTACGACGCCTACGAGAAAGGAAGGGGTGGCGCATTCTATATCGGGATCACATTGCTATGCGACCGCTATACGATGTACTCTTTCCACGTATGAGCCAAATATTCATACAGGCAAATTAAACGAATATAAACTGAACGCATCAATTTCATCTAACGTGTAAATATTTGTTTACACTAAAACAGCCAAATCTGACATTAATAGAGATAATACAGTTCGTCTCTAATTTGTTATAATTACTTAGTGACTATGTTGTAAAATCTATTTGTACTTTGCTTTAGGAGTGAAAGAGGTCAATGTAATGTATTTTGTAGGTTCAGATGAGAATCAATCAAATGCAAACTCTGTTAGTGTGTTGAATGAGTAAGAATATAGGGTCACGATTCATTCATCCCTAGAATGTCGTAAAATGCAAACTAAGGGAATAATAAGGCATGGCCGGCGCGGGAATTATACGCTATTTTTTTTTCGAGTCTTAGGGAGACCCTCGTGCCCCAGTGGAGGGACTTTGACGGACTGCTAAGGTAAATGTAAAATAATATAAAATACAATGTTTATACTATTATATAGGTTCATATTAAATGAAAACAAGCAATGACTAATGAAAAATACGCTTGGTTTTACAATAAACATAGATTCGATTGAGGTTACAAATGAATTAGCTGACTACAGCGTCATATATGGTATGTATTTACATCATTATTAATTAAACTTCATTTAAGGTAAACTAAGAAACAAAAATACAAGAATATTGTTCACAATATATTGTGTTAGTTGGAAAGACCTAGGAGTCAGAATTTGGGCTTAATTTTTATTATTTTAGTGAAAATTTTGTAATATAAATTGCAAAAGTATGATAGATCCTAAACATTGCATTAGGGATGTTATGCAAGTGATCAAAGAAAAAAACATAATAAATAAATAAAATTATTACAAACAAAACATTATACACTCCATAGGATTTCTTTTTACATTTTATAAACAAAGAAATAGGGTCAATGTGCTCATAATATCAAGTAACCATTTTCAATAACTAATTGTGACAATATCACAATAAATTGACGAGTAATTAAATATTGTAAGTTTTTATAATTAACTAAGCACCAATTTATATAGCTTTACTAATGAAAAAAGGAGTTTAGACAGTCAAAATTTCCACATAATTACACAGCATAACCTAATGAAACGGCGTAATTAGACGACAAGAAGCCAAACTAGTTGGGCAACGAGTCGGGCTGGCCACAATAAGCAAGTGTCGGCAAGTCTTGGTGTTGCACAACCGGCGATGGTCGAACGCGAGAAACATAACTAGGCTGGGCGGCAGTGCTGATGATGTAAACTTAAAAATTGCTTTAGTTACTTACTTAACCGCACGGCTCAATGTGAAATTCAACGAGTTGCATCGCCGTCTAGACGTGGAGATGAGAGGGGATAACCCGGAACTGGTAGCATCCATGGCCGTGACTTTCGTAGGCCCACTTTTAAGGAAAATAGAATAACAGACGGAGGGAGACAAGGAAACCGTGCTATATATTATCATCGACTTAAATTTTAGAAAACTAATAATGATCACAGGTCATAATAATATCAACTTCGGATAAAATTGTGTTGCGAATGCCCAAACCAGTTTCAATAGACAAGGTCACATTTGTATTAATTTAATTCCAATTCTAATTTCAAACACCCATAAGCTATATGTAAAAGAGCTGAACTTTCTGAAGGCGAAAAAATTTTAATTTATTGCAATACTAGTCTGTTATGTAATGGCAAAGTCTAGCAAATCTAATGGACTGGTCCTCAATGAGGTGACCTATTATTTTTGTCTCATATTGCAAATGTATCGACAGCTAATAATGTTTAATTTCAAAATATATTATCGGATAATAATGTATTTTAAATTAAAGATTAGGGTCTATTTAAGTTATATACATTAAAATTATGTAATGCGACTGTATAAAGTAAACCATAATGCGTCGTTATTCAAGTAACATCAAGCAACTTCAGAGAGCATTACGTATCTTGTAATTTAGTCAGATACCTATACATTGCAGTTTATAATAATTTTGTGCAGAAAAAAATACAAAGGTAATTTTGGCCTTGTATTGAATTGCTATGCTGCGTTGTAGTGAGGCAATATAATAACTGCACAAAGTGACCTTAGCGGAATATGTTGGTGACCTTTAGGAGAAAAAAATTACAAGCTTATATTTGCAAACAAAATATAAACCATCACAACATAGTATTAAAAGCTTTTTTTTATTATCTGTATAAAAGGAGAGCGACTATTTGGTTCAGAAAAAAAGGATTTAACTTCCTTATAATACAAACTTTTATATTGACAATAAAAATATTGACACATGTTCATAAAACATATTGTTGAGGAATTAAAATACTACTTTAGTAATATATAGATTTTTGAAAGGTAATATTTGTTATTATCAAACAAGCAAATGCACAAAGTGAACTAAACGATGATAATATTGGCTTCGTATAAAAAAAAAAAAAAAAAACTATTACATTAATCATGACAAATTAATATAGGATGAACATTGGATGAAACCATATTTATTGTAAAAAAAATAATCAAAATTGAAATTATCAAAGATTTCGCATAACATATTACACCAACAAGCATGTGGAATTGTTATATCCCTTCTTTTTGAAGTAGCTAAAATAGCAAAAGTGAATTTAAGTGATATTTTTTAATGATTTTTTTACTTTTCATACAATACACTAATTGTGCTTATTTGTTCATTTTTATCAACGCTATTTCTTCTGAAACCAGTATTTTATTAGTTTAATAGTTTTCATGCGCGATTTCGATTTCGTTTCGATTATACATATACATTAATTGACCAGGATAAAAATTTGCTTATATCCTTTATCCAAAATAATTGTATTGTAACATCTTTATTGTATATACTTTACATTGGACACAGATTGAATATACAACTATAATATTTGTATACCAAATTTTATTACCATTTATTAAACCGTTAAGGCTCTATATACATATCTGTGCCTCTAGTGAGAAAGGGTATAACTCAAGTTATAGCCTTTTTCTTTTTTAGGCTACTTTAAAAAAGCAAATTTTTCTCTTTCGAATGGTATAAGAATCGTAACGATATCTTTAAAAACAATAGAGATAGTAAACATGTAAAAGGCTACAATTAACAAAATATTTGTGGTAAAAAAGTCATAATTAGAAATAAAACTACAATATTTTACAAAAATTATTTTTGTAAAATGAATCAGTTCGATTTGAACCCTTTTACACCATTTAATAGCGATAATTTTTTTATAGCGTAAAATACACATCATTGTTTTTCTTCAATACTTCAATAAAATAGTTTTAATTCAACTTAAAACTATTTTCACATCATAATTTTAATATTTTTGTTAAGTGTGATTAGGTATAATAGAATTATTTTTAAAACTATAGGTTTTACACAAAAACCGACAATTTCATAAGAAAGAGGAGAAAAAATTACTATAAATGCAATCATTGACTTGTTCAATTAGCAAATAATAAAAGCAGCAGAATTTTTTTTCTTTATTTAAAATAGTTTTTTGGCTCTCCTGAAAAGTGACCATTTTGAATTGAACCCTTTCTCACTAGAGGCACAGATATTAGCCCTCAACTGTTTACTGCTGAACATGGGCTCTCCCCATAAGAGGAGTTTTGTTGTCACGCTGGGCAGGTAGATTGGCAACCGCAGTTAGGTTTTGGTGTCGTTTTAAAAGGGCCCATGCTGTCCATCTCTCGACCATTAAGTTCTCTTAGTCGCCTCTTACAACACATACAGGAAAGGAAGTAGTTAAGGCGCTTAGAGATAATAAAAAGAGAACAATTTTTCATTAATAAATATTAGTAAGGATTCAAAGACAGTCCAGGTATAAACCGAACGGTAAAGATAATAATACAATAGGTAGGTATAACAAAAAGATTTGGTTTACAAATTGTTAAACACTGACGAGTAAAGTAATGGCAGACATTTATGAAATACAATGAACAACTGTAATCGAGGAATGCATATTTCAATACTACCGGATAGTAAAAAAATGTGATGACAAGTGACCGCGCCTACCTGAGAAACGAAGTTCAGGTCGATCGAAAGTTGTTCGTGTCTGGTATTATTATCTAGTATCTATATTTGCTTTCTTTTATTCTTTTACAGTAGGTATTATAAATATTAGGAAACTAAGTACATATTGAACTATATTTTATTGTTTTGCACATTATCAGTTTATGTATTAAGAACAAGATAAAAGCATAGACAGTAAGGTTGTTAGACTGCTTTTCTAATCTTGAGTGTACTTAACCTCCCCATTTCTAATCGTCTATCCCTTTCTATGTGCATCGTTCATTTCTACGGGGCGGCATTCCTAAAAGTTGTAAATGATAGGACCTTCATAAAAACACCACATGATCCGACGGTTCATTTCTCTTTTACTACTGTTTTATGTTTACAGGATATTTTTCCTATAGAACTTTGAAATATTAGTGTATCAAGTAATTAAGTAAAAGTCTCTTTTAAACTTAACCTGAATTACGTAAATCTTGGGCTAGTGCTCGCAGCATAGATTTGCTGACATTTTGCAAACTGGTTTTGGTCCAACAATTTTAGTCTTAAACTTTATTAACACAGGTGTTTTAAAGGCAAGATAGATATTAATATTAAATAGTTTATGAATAAGGATTAGAACGAACGCCTATGTAGGGTAAATTTAGCATGCTTAATTTTTTTCTAAATAAAATAAGTAACTTTTAAACTATATCAACTTGATTAGTAAGCGTGCAAACCATAGTAAATATAAGATTATGGGGGCGAAGAGATTGCTCGGGATTGGGAATGTAGAACATCTGTTTGCAAGTAACATGCGAGGGACTACCAGGTGCCAAGGCTCGGGGCTTGAGGGGCGAAGGGTGCATCGACCCCGGACCCTATCGCGCGTGCTCACCGTCACGCATACTACCCATCTGTCTCAGACAAATCTTTACCTTCTATGGGTAAGGGTAGTAATTAAAATGTCGATTTCAGAAAACTGTATGCAGGTTTCTAAATTTATATGAATGAAGCAATGAATACTACTTTCACACTGATCCAGTATTAGGTAGATTTCGTTTCGTTCAGTTCGTCATTTTCCATCGTTTCAATTCAAACAAATTTACTTGAAATTGGTAGAATCGATTTGGCAAATTTTTTAAAGGCGATTTAAAAAAAAAAGTAATAAACAAGTCAAGAAAACCAACATATACAATGTTGATTTTCTTGACTCGTCTGTTAAAACTGGAAATTTATAAAGTCAAGTTTAAAAGTGCATAAAGATAATTTTAAACAATTTCAAGAGAAGTAACACTTAGCGTTCCAATACTACGTTAGATCTTTGCTAATAAATAGGGTTAATAGGGCCCATATTAATTTTGTTTTGATAAAGTATTTTTTTTGCAGAATAAAATTTTAAGTTATTTAATAAGAGATAAGACAAATCTTACCTGTTTCTATGAGAGTGCATTAAAACCAACTTCTATACCAAATACATATGTGAGATTATAGTGTATGTTGTTATAATTACTTTTTGGATTAATTATATATTAATAAAAAAAAGAAATGCAAATTCTGTATGTCATAACATTCAATTCTGTTTAAATAGCTGATTCATTCAATAAGGACGAGACAGATATAGTCTAATTTATAAACTGGACATACTATTTGCTCATTCTTCGGCTTTTCAAAAGTGATTCATTCACTGTGATGTATTCAAAAGTCAGGAAAAAAGTCCAGGTGGCTCGCTCACAAAGCGGCAACAAAAAACTGCCACTAGACTTGACTTAAGGCACACCAGTTTACTGAAATTTCAATTTTAACAGGTAAAGAGAATGTTGATAATCGTTTGGCAGGTATAAAGAATGGGCGCCCGTAATCTATAGGTCGCCACAAAAGATACATATCGCAGTTTAAACACGTGCATTGACTAGGGAATCACAATCAGGTGGGTGAACAGATCCGTTCTTGATGTTACAAAATAAATTGTTTATGTTGGCACCAGAGCCGAATGTATATTTAAGTAATATCTATATAAACATTGTAAGAGGCAATTTTCAATAGTAAATATTTTTGATTTAGATTTTAATAAGTAATCACCTTTGTCATTTTTATTTGTATATAGAGTACATTTATTATTTGTAAAGAATTTGTATTTTATTTATAATGAACTGATATAAATTAGGTACCTTTAATAGACCTAAGTAACATTGTAATTATTTAATTACTTGATATCAATAGTGTATTTAGTCTCGTGATGGAGTAAAAATATAATATGGTGCCACTTCTTTTCATGCCCTGGTAGTGGTAAGAGTCAACCAACGTAACAAATGTATGATACACAAATGTAAGGAACAAAATATCGATACATAACAACCCCATATTAAGTAACTTGGTCTATCTGCTGATAGTTAGCAAATGCCTGTCTTTAATAACGAGAGACTCATGCCCAGTATAGGGTTGACAATTTTTTTTTATACAACTTAGAATGGTAAACAAGCTAACGGCCCACATGATGGAAAGTGGTAACCGTCGCCTATAGACATGAGCAGTACCATGGACATAACAGAGTACACAGTTTCGCCCATGATACCTCCCATGCGTTGCCATTCCTGAGGACTCAGGTGTTATTTCTCTGTACCCTGTAAATTCATGCCATATCCCACCCTTCAAACAGAAACACAGCCATGCAAACACAACTGCTTCACGGTAGAAACACGATTGGGACAGAGGTACCCAAGCAATCGACTTTTGTACAAAGCCTCCCTCTGGTAAAATGACAATGGTTTATGGCTTTAGTATTAATAAAAGCTGGTAAGACTACGCAAGGTAGGTAACACATACAGGTAGTTTTAGAGATTATCCCGTTTATTGGCACACCAATAGGTATAATTTGCAATGGATTATGCATTCTATTTAATGTCCAATTACCTATTCTGCTACCTATAATTTTATAAATTGGAGAAAATACCGTTACTTAGTTTGAGCGCAATCAGTTATTATCGTCTTCCGTGGATATTCCGAAAACCTTTTCTAAACTGGATGCCTTGATCAAACGAGGAACCTCCGTATGATTTCAAATTTATAAATTTGAAATCATACGTCATCATCATTTGAAAGCCTATAGGCTTCAATGCTGTGCAGATTTCATGAAAATTGAGATATATTGGAATTATTTGGGATGTAGCGGATGATGGAGTATGAGGAAGACGTGTTAGGGTTAGCAAGTAGCAGTCTGTAGTTTCTGTCCCACATCAGACGTCTATTATGACTATAGACTAGTAATAAAATATTTCTTTAGTTGCTCTCAAGCAAGTACTTTCACCCGCAGTTAGGCCTTCTGAGTTTTGTCATGTCATGCGTACCTGAATTAGTTGCGAAACTAGTCCAAACTTGTAGGGGGGTTCATAACAAACATCAACTTTGTAAACTTTGGGCTTTTAATATCTCCATATTTAAAATTAAGCGTTTAAGATTATTCTTAATAATACAGAAGGCTGGATTGAACGAGTCAGGATAAGGGAAAGTAATTACGATAGTACAAAATCAATGTTAAATTTTTTTAAATAAATAAATAATATGTAAAATAAGTTCAAAATTGACGAAGATATCGTAAGCGTAAAATACACAAAAATATGGAAATGAGAATCTTTATGAAAACAGTGCATTCATAAAAACCACTGATATATTTATATTAAGTAAGATGCAACGTTAAGAGAATTAACCACTAATTAGTAAATATATCAGAGAACATATGATGGTGCTATGAGAATAATTTAATTAAATACACATTGATATCTTTTTTTAACAAATCATAGATCTACCGAAATGTAATAAACGAATAGACGACACAAATAAACCTATAGATCGACCGACAGACAGGTTGATTACAGAATAATTAATTAATAAAATTTAAATTTTGGTGCTCCTGATCTTGCGCTTCATAGGCTCAAATATACAGTGTAAGCTGCATAATGCCATAACGAAGGTTTTATGATGAGAGAGTAGGAAGAGTATATAAATAGACAAAATTTTTTACAGAACATTATCATCGACAGGAGATCAAAGAAGCAAATAATTAAGAAAAAGAAAACTAAGAAATGATTATGTGAATTGAGATGAGTCAAATTAAAGCTTAGGTATCGTGTTTTATATAAGAAATTACAAGTATATAATATAAAAACCCATTGTTACAATAATCAAATACCCGATAAATGAATTTGTGATGCCTAACAAGATTAAATTCTTAGATTTTAAAGAAAAAAAGTACAAGATTATTAATGTTTTTACATATATTACAAAAAATATGTTTCAGTTAACTGTGTTAAAAAAATTAACATTATATATTAACTTTTAGACTTTCCTGTTGCATGATTTATGATTTAAATGAGACTGAAATTTCGATGTCGACATAACGCAGGTAAATTATCGTATGTTACCACCTATATGGTCGCGTTAATTCCCATCTCTAATTAATCATAAACTAAAAATAACTTTCTGGCAGCATTAATAATTTTAAAGAGTACGTAATACAAAATAAGTAAAGTCAAAATAACGGAAATGACAAGGTATTTTTATTTTATCGCGAATGTTGATGTGTATATATATCTATAGGCAGATAATATTTATTTAAATCAGTCAGATTTAATGATCAGTGCTTATCCGAAGTTGCTCTGACATTTTGTACAAGTGCTTACTAGTATTAGTTATAAATGTAAAACTAAGTTTGTTTCCTTATAACGCCTTAATGGCTTTTTAACTAATCATTATGAAATTTGATAGACATATATTACATGGGATGTAGAAGGATATAAGGCTACTTTTTATCCCGGTCAGTAAACAAATCCTGGTTATGCGAATGAGGTCGCGGGTAAAGCTAGTGGTAATATAAAATAAACATGCACTAAGAAGACTAGAAATTTTTAAGGAAAAACCAAAGAACGCAGGTGAAGCCACGAGAAACAAGTAGTTTTATTATAATAATATATCTATTTTCTTTGAAAATTACTCATGGCATACATTTATTTGCGTATAGATAGATATATATTATATAGTCAGTTGATGTTACAGTAATTTCATTTGGCAGGCATATTACAATTTTACTACATTATTATATTAAGCGGTCGCCACTCAAGTGGCGTAAGTAAATGATGATGATGATGATTATATTAAGCAATTAGCTATTAATAAAATACTATTATGTAATGATATTAGGTACTATATAGTATTAGTCTAGTACCACTATCTATAATTACAAAAAGTGGACATGCCATATAAATTTTTAATATTTTATGAAAGCTATGCCATAAAATAACTTATTAATTATTAAGAGATATGAAGATAACTCTTATTATGTTTTCATTTGACAATGTACATTATATATTTTATAAAACATATATTTTATAGGATAGAAAAATTTTGACTCCTTGGAATCTAATTAAATGTCAAGGAGACATATAAAGTTAATAAGTAAAACCAGTTGTGAATGGTTGGAATGCATACTTACAAATTAAATGTGAAATAATCCTCCAGTTTACATGATGCAATAACAATTTATTATCTGTATTGTATTAAATATGATAATCTCCTATTTTCATATATAATTACAGAAATACAAAATGTCCCTTGACCATTACACTAAATTATAATAAAAGAAAAACTGTAATCCAGGAATACAGATTTATTGACTGAACAAGATTTATTAAGTACATATTTAGTTATACATGTCATGTTAAGGACATGTAAAGATTGACAGATACATAGATTAGCATGTTAATAATTGCTTATAATTCTTGTTATTTATAAAATATTGGAATGTCATTATGTGCTACTTGAAATCAATTATATACGAGAAGTTTTTTTTATTTTTGTTTCCTATGTTCCTAAGGAGATAACAGTAAGATGATGATGATAAGTTAAGAAAAGTTGTACTACTCAGTAAATACTGTACCTGGGTTTTGAATGTAAAGATAATTAATTAATTTGGTACCTATAATGAAAGCAGACCCTAAGCATATTCAGATTTAACACATGGTAGTATTAGATTAATATAATTTTGTCACAGAAATGACATGTACATAAATATTGCTAAATGACTGTAAAATATGCGAGATTTCATGAATTTGTTTAGTAAATGATATTCATAAATTACATTCTTATTTATGGAATTTAAACGTCTTAATATTTTTTTTTTGGGTATGGTTATATTTTTTTTTCAGTTTATGCACAATATGTATTGTGCATAAACTGAAAAAAAGTTGCATAAATATATAATATATATATTTTATGCAACTCTGAATAGCAAACAAGCTGATGGCCAATTTGGATATTTTATTTTACATGATTTGTAAAATATATCATTTTCCCATTGTAAAAGATGACATAAATAGTAAAAATGACCAAAAATTTTTTATGTAAGTAAACCATTTAGTAAATGAATATTGTTCTAGTTTCTGTTAATCTATTTATATTATTTTACACTTAGAGACTCCAAAAGCAAAATTTGGAATCAAATTACTGATACATTTATGTGGAATTCTTTCTATAAGTAATGTTTTAATCTCAAACCAAATTTTTTTTATAGGAAGAGTTTACTTCCATCTTGGTCATAGTACATTCAGATTTGCAGACTGAAATTAGTTTTTTGTATAACTAATTCCATATGGATTGTTGACCTATACAATCACAGTAATTATGAATATTTGTTACAGATTATTTCCAATGGTGTTATATTAGTAATTTTTTATATTGTTTAATAGATTTAAAAAAGGATGAGGCTTTATATAGTGTATTTTTATATTGTAGGCATTTTTTATGACACAGGGAGCAAATAAGCATTGGGGCTCACTTAATGGTAAGTAACTATCACCATTTATGAGTACTTGCATACACTACACTGCTGTTCTTTTAAAAAGGAATAATCTCTTTTCCTCAAGATTATGATGTTGTGTCAGTTCAAAATAAATTTATTTCAAAGTATGATTATGCATGGAAGAAAAAGACTTAAAAATTGCACAATGAAAGAATATTACTCATCTACATGGTTGAGATGGAACTTTAATTTGTGGCGGGTTGTATTTGTGTTGTAGATATTGTAATTCCTCGGAACACTCTCCTAATATATTATATAAAAGATGCATAGATATGCAACACAGTTTCAGTGGGTTGTTAAATAGTAAGGTGTTGATTATAAAAACTTGAGCCATGCAACATTGAATGCAATCTAATGGAAGAAGTTGGTATTGTAGTGCTCCAGCTTAATAGTGAGAACAATATTCTATATGTCGCTAAAGTTGAAATTTACACAATTGCAAGCAACATTATGGTTCCAGTCTTCAATGTCTATGTTAGAATATAGACAGCTTAATAAGCAAATCTCCAAGTGTATATGGCTTTACATACGCCCCATTAATACTGTATGCATTGAACAAGCAATACAGTGGAATCAAGGCTCCAAAGTGTTCACCAGAGATTTGGCTATGTATGTTGTCTGTTGACAGGAGATTGAAATAGATCTCAAACAGCTTGAAAACGACAAGGCACCGGAAAAGAACAGAATTACAGCAGAGTTTCTAAAAGCAGGTAGAAAACCAATAGTTGTAGTCCTTCAGAAGTTATTTAATTTTGTCTCCTATAACGGTGTTACGCCCGAGGCGTGAAGTAGAACCTGCGATACTGCTATTCTTCAAGAAGGGTATCAATCCCTTATAGAAGAACTATAGACCGATGTCCCTTCTGAATCGCGTCTACGTACTGTTTTCGATTGTCCTGACCCATCGTCTTACCCGCAAACTCGACAACTTCCAGCCACCCGAACGAGCTTGCTTCCGAAAGGGTTTTAGTACCATAGACCACATACATACGCTACGGTAGATTGTACAGAAGACCGAAGAGTATAATCTGCCAATATGTCTGGCGTTTGTGAACTATGAGAAAGCCTTTGATTCGGTCGAGACTTGGGCGATATTACAGCTATATACCAGAGGTAGACTTTGTACAAAAGTCGATTGCTTTGGTACCTCTGTTCCATTCGTATTTCTACCGTGAAGCAATTGTGTTTGTATGGCTGTGTTACGGTTTGAAGGGTGGGATATGGCGTGAATTTACAGGGTACAGAGGAATAACACCTGTCCTCAGGAATGGCAACGCATGGAGGGTATAATGGGCGAAACAGCATTCTCTGTTATGTTCATGGTACTGCTCATGTCTATAGGTGACGATTACCACTTAACATCAGGTGGGCCATTAGCTTGTTTGCCATTCTAAGTTGTATAAAAAAAAGCTACATTAGTAGATGTTTTCAAAATTTTGAACTGGAAAAGATACGGTATAAACATCAATGGCGAAAACATCACTCACCTTCGATTTGCTGATGACACCGTAATCATTATGGAATTCCTGGAGGATTTAAATACTATGCTTAATGACTTCAGTAGTGTTTCTTAACAGGTAGGAACAATTTAACAGGTAGGACTAAAATCATGTATAACGTTCATGTCAAATCTATATCGGTTACTATTCAGAACACTACACTCAAAGTTGTCGACGAGTATGTATACCTGGGATAAGTTGTGCGAATAGATAAGTCCAACTTTGACTGAGAGGTCAACCGAAAGATCCAACTTGGCTAACAGAGTTTGAAAAACTACGCCACATCTTTTAATCCAAAATACTTCAAAGTTTGAAGACGAAGGTCTTCAACCAGTGTGTGTTGCGGGTAATACTTATGGAACTGAAACATGGTCCTACATGATTGCCTGTATGCAAAAGCTTCAAATTACTTAGAGGGCTATGCTCAGAATTTCTTTGCATAATAGAATCCGAAATGAGGATATGGGCAAAGCAAGTTAAAGTAGCAATGGGCTGGTCACATGGCTTGAAAAATAGACAACTGATGGGGAGGAAAGGTATTTAAGTGGTGATCTCGTACGGGTAAATGCAGTGTAGGACGATTCCTCACTAGATCTCAAATGTATAGCAGGGAGTCAGTGGATGCAAGTGGCTAAGGACCGTTCCTTATGACAGTCTAAGGGTCTATGTCAAGCAGTGGACAAATAATGGCTGAAATTATGAAAATGAAATTTTAATGAAATACTGTCAACATTTAGAATGTAGTAGCATATATAATTATGTAGTATCGGTATTCTGAGAGGATGTAGTACTTTCCTAGTGGACCAGGCCTATTCATGCTGCAATACCATATTCTGCCAATTACGCACACATATTTAGGATTCTTTTTGTGATAGTCAGAGTTTACTTCTTTCTTGATATGGCTCATTTCATACTTTTTGGAAATTACATCCATAAGCATAAAATTGTGTTTTATTAGTCGATGTACAAAAAAACATGCTGTTATTATTGGATTATATAACCACATTAATTTATATTCTCTTTTTATAAACACACTACTAAAATATACTATCAGTTAACAGAAAATTAAGAATAAGTAGCGGTTTTGAATGTTACATGATTTTGCCTCTGTTCTCTAAACATCTATACCAAAATCTATATTTCAGTGAATTTTCTTAAGTAATTTACTATAAAATTTGTAAAATGTGTACTTAGTTCCAATACTTTACCTAATATCAAATAACAAACTGTTATCAGTTTTTAATTCAGTTCATTTCTTAAATAAAATTAATCTAGTGACCAATGGTTTGTTTTGGGTATTACTAGTATGAATTTAAAACTCGGTTATCTGAGAAAATATCTTATGTTTAGTTAAAATTATTACAAAAATTTATCTACATATGCAGAATTGTAATGAAAACAGTAATGATAAAAGGGTCCCAAAGAACCCTTTTAATATAGGAGTGATAATTTTCTACTTTTTAAATAGCACAAAACAAAAAGGAAATTTATTGCATATCATTTAAAAGTCATCATCAATATGACATATTAAATTCTAGCAAAATAAATGTTTTCTCAACTACCAAAAACAGGCATTTTTATATTTATTTTTTTAATGGGTAATATGAATTTAGGCTTATGCTTGCCGTGTGATCCCCGCATGGAATAGGCCATCCCTTCTTTTCCTGTGGGTGTCATAAGAATCAGTTAAGGGAGGGTGAGAGATTGGCAGCTGCTCTTAAAACATCTCTAAAGTCTAACTGTGGTTATCAAGCATGGCAACTACTGGCAATACCCTCAACTGGAAGGCCTATGTTTAGCAGTAGACAGTAAAAGGCTGATATGATGATAAATATAAATTTAATATTTTATCTTATATTAAATTTATATTTATCATCATATAAATTTAATATAAGATAAAATATTAATTATAAAATAACAGAAATATAGTAACAGCTGATATTTTATTTTATTTTTAGTGTTCCCAAATATCAATATATAAATTATCTACCAGAGTCCCTATCTCTGTGAAACTTTCAATTGTGTTAAAACATGAAAATATTAAAATTATAAAAAAAAAAAAAATTCAGATATAAAGGATAGGAGTGTTTATTATAAAAATATATTATAAAAAAGACTTTTTAATCCAATATTTATTTCTGAATCTTTGGCAGTGTTTGTCCTGGAATGTTCCATGTCATATTAGGTTTGCCATAGTCAAAGTGAATTTTTAAATAAATATCTGAAATAACTAGGTCTTTTGTACATAAGTATGTATCTATTAGTTTATGTAATTGGACTACCAGCGCCATCTTACATATAAATGATAAACTGTGTTGATTTGTTTCTATATTTAATTAATATCTTTATCTATACCTGAGAGATGAAAAAAAAATTTTTTTATTATGATGAAAAAGTAATAATTAATAATAGTTGTATGTGTATGAGAATTATTTATTTATTACAAAATGTAGACTCAGGTCTATTACAAAATGCAGATACAGAAATTGGACTTTTCTAAATTTTATTTAGACTTATTCCACTTTTTTACAAGTTAAAAATTCATGAGAAACTATAGGAAAAATACATAAATGAAAATAAAAGTCAAATCAACAATAATTATCTGCTTGAATTATCTTTATCCTTATCAGTCACAACATTAAAGAGATTGTTAATTGATATTCAGAAATTAAATTTCTTGAATTTTCAAATGGAATCAATCATTTAGAAGTATAAAGAAGAATTTTTTAATTTGTGTTTATTACAGAAGAGTACAACATTAGTGGTATTTTTCCATTTTATGTAGGTACCTACCTACAACTATCAATGAATAGTGGTTGTTCTTGAATGTTTATAGTTCAGAATAAATTAATGATGAATCGTTCCAAATCGAATTTCAACTCAAAACAAATACTCAAATTGTAACATAACTCCTCTGAATACGTAGAATTCCGTAACAATAAGAGCAGAATTCTCTAATTATAGCCGTATGAAATGTTAAATCTGTGAAAATAACAGAGAACAATTTTTGCATGTTGACGTGGCGTGACATTGTAATATGGAGTCTAATGCGACCCCATCATGTAAACGTGTTAATTAATTGACTAATACTGTATTTAACTAATTTACTGTGTTAAAATTTAATAAAATTGCAATTTCATTTCGATTACAGTAATAAGTATGGCGCCTCTGACATTGTTACCTTATCTATATTTTGGTACGACAATATGGCGATTACACTTACCTTATTATTTTTAATAAAATCTTCAATAGCTTTCAGCGCTGAATCCGTTAATTTCACAAACACTAGTTCCTTGTTTTCTTTATAACTAGATTCCGATGATAACCCATACTGAACACCTGCTGGCAAGGCCGCCATTTCTTAATTCACTATTCGCACTGTTGACCAGCTGACTCCTTTGCTAGCCGTCACGATTTATAATCATTCACACATTTTCTTAACCGTAATCACAGATTCACAACCTATATAAAATTATAATTACAACAACAAAAGGGTTTTTACTAGTCCAAATTATTCTTTTTGTAAACCCATCGACTCGGCCTTTGTTGGCAGCGCTCTTGTGTCTGCAAGGCCGCACTGACTGTCATGCGCAATGGCCAGTCTTGCCACATGCAATGTTTGGTTTTTACCCAAACGTCAAATATTTTTTCCCCAAATCGATACAATTTTAATAATTTTTACCCAATCACTAACTTGTATGTTGAAAAACATATATATAATAAGTTTTTCACATCATTTTGTTGACGACGAAGAATGAAAAATCTTCCTTGCATTTCTGCTTTTACTTTGATCTATCTTTCTTTTATTTGAATCTATATTGTACCTTCATTTATTATATTTATATATATATATTATAAATACTCAAACTATCCAAAAAAATTACAAATTTCTTCAAGCCCATTTTATTGCACTCCAAAAATTTATCCAAGAATATTAATTTAAATAATTTCGTAAACAGAAAAAAATTACCCATTACTGCAAAAAAATACCTAACCTGGCAACACTAGCAATGGCGCTTTTGACTGGAAATACGAGCATTCACTGCGACACTAGCGCCAATTATCAGTTAGTAACAATTATTTTGTAATTGTATCTAACTTCACTTCATATTTTCTTCAATATTTTTCTAATTTTTTCCAATAATAGCGAATAAAATTTGTATTTTGTTGAGATAGAATTACTAATTTATGTATTTCCGTCTGTTTCCTTAATAGATCTTATAAATAACTTTATTTTTTAACATAATAGTAATTGCGAATTTTAGAGGTTAATCCTCACTTTTTTACATTTCATTGACGTGTTAAAAGAAACTTTATTAAAACTTATTTTTTTTTAATATTAAATTAAATAAGTAATCTAGTTATATAAAAGATTCTTGGAAAATAAGTGTAATACTTACGGTAAGTTAAGATATATAGTAAATTTTTTATAGATATCAAGTGGTTTAAGATTTCATCATTTACATTCACTGATCGACTTACAGATTTCACCATGGCGAATTGGGAAGAGAAAAAGCACCTTATAGTTCGTAATCTCCAAGAAGTTTTAGGGGAAGAAAAAATCAATCAGATTTTGAAAGAAAGGGACCTCAAAATTTATTGGGGTACAGCTACTACTGGACGGCCCCACATAGCCTATTTTGTACCCATGTCTAAGATTGCCGATTTCCTTAGGGCTGGCTGTGAGGTGACTATTTTATTTGCAGATTTGCATGCTTATTTGGATAATATGAAGGCACCTTGGGATTTATTAATTCTTCGCACTCAATATTATGAAGCTGCCATTAAAGCAATGCTTCAGTCCATTGATGTACCATTAGAGAAGTTGAAGTTTGTCAGAGGTACAGACTATCAGCTTAGCAAAGAATATACCCTAGATGTCTATCGTATGTCTTCTGTTATTACCGAGCATGATGCCAAGAAAGCTGGAGCAGAAGTAGTGAAGCAAGTAGAGCATCCTCTGTTAAGTGGTTTACTATATCCTGGGTTACAAGCATTAGATGAGGAGTATTTGAAAGTTGATGCTCAGTTTGGTGGTGTTGATCAAAGAAAAATATTCACATTGGCTGAGAAATATCTTCCATCACTTGGATATGCTAAACGAGCTCATCTTATGAATCCTATGGTACCTGGTCTAACAGGTGGGAAAATGTCAGCATCTGAGGAGGACAGTAAAATTGATCTTTTGGATAGCCCAGCTAATGTAAAAAAGAAACTTAAGAAAGCTTTTTGTGAACCTGGAAATATTGTTGATAATGGAGTACTATCCTTCAGTAAATATGTTGTATTTCCATTGTTAAAACCTGGTGAGACATTCAAGATTTCTAGAGCACCAGATCATGGTGGTGATATTGAATTTTCTAACTATGATGACTTGGAAGCTGAATTTGCAAAGCAGAATATTCATCCTGGAGATTTGAAATTGTCTGTTGAACAAGCTATCAATAAGCTCTTGGGACCAATTCAAGAAATATTTAAAGATCCCAAACTTCAGGAGTTATCCAAAAAGGCATATCCACCATCAACTAAAACTAAGAGTAATAACAATAATGATGAAATTACTCCATCAAAATTAGATATCCGTGTAGGTCATATTGTAGAAGTTTCAAGGCATCCAGATGCAGATGCATTGTATGTAGAAAAAATTGATTTAGGTGAAGCAGAACCTAGAACTATTGTATCAGGTTTAGTAAACTTTGTACCTATAGAAGAAATGCAAAATAGAGATGTTGTTGTATTATGTAATTTAAAACCAGCAAAGATGCGCGGAATAGAGTCAAAGGGTATGGTGTTGTGTGCTTCAGTTGATGAACCAAGACAGGTGGAGCCGTTATTGGCTCCAGAAGGTAGTAAGCCAGGTGACAGAATTGTTGTAGAAGGATATGAAACTGGGGAGCCAGATGATGTTCTTAATCCCAAAAAGAAAGTATGGGAAAAATTACAAATTGATTTGAAAACAAATGATAATTTACAAAGTGTTTGGCAAGGAAACAGACTTATAAGCAAAGTCACTGGAAATCCTGTTACCACTAAGTCTATTAAAAATGCTCCTATAAAATAAGTATAATAATTGTATGTTAAATGTCAGGCTTTTAAATTTAATTTGCTATTAACAATTATTCCTCTATTGCTTCAGTTTTAGTAATGCTAAAAGCTGTTGAAATCTTTTATTTTGTATAAATTTATTTTATACCACTGTTATAATTTAATAAACAATAATTGTCTTTTCTTGTATCAATTTAATGGTGGTTTAATTTCCATATAATTTACTATGTAATTATAGAACTTGTGACGCCATCTATCAGTAATCTTGATTAATATATATTGTGTCGACATCCAGAAACTTCGAGATAATATACATAGTGGAGATACAGATGGCGCTTTTAATTTTTATAATTCTTAATTCCAAGGGGTTTCTAGTCTACTAAAAACTTTTTTATTTGTAATGAGTTGAAAATAGGGCAAACTTCCCTGCACTATCGGTATATATACTGATGGGATAACAGTAAATGATAAGAGGGAATGAAATCAGGTTAGTTAACCTATTGATGTGGCGAATTCACTCGGAATTATCCATGATAGTTTCCAAGGGAGATAGCGAAGAGTTCCATTTGACAGGGTAATCTGCAATGAGGACTGACGCCTACACTATTTAAAACGTAACGTGTTGTACGTTGGATATAATGAATTCTATAAAAGTGAAAGGTTATCACTGAATGTAGTCTAACAAAGACTAACCTCCACATTCTTTTTCTCTCTAGTTATAATTAGATACAGTCGAGAGCATTTTTTTTTTCTATAAGAATTATCGTTACAAAAGATTAGGCTTTAATCTTGAGAGTGGTAAAGTAATAAAATGAATTTACAGCCATTAATATAAAAGGCGTTAAACATTTTTTTTACTAAGTGTGGCAATACGACAATATCGGGCAATGTACTGATTTTATGACAATTTAGCAGAAAACATCATTGTCACAGTTAAAATAATAATTAGGTGGTATCGACAAATTGCTGCTTGTTTGCAAATTAAATGTACGCGACTAAGTAAATAGATATAAGAGTTCTAAGTAAATGTGATAGCAATCTTGATGTAAGCATGCCTCGGATCACAAAATACATTGGCTACCTATATCGAAAGACGAATACTCCAACGAATACGAAGTTCCAACACTCATTCCCGATTTCTTATGTATTTAAATAAGACTATGTTTAGTATGTTTAGGTAATAGATTTCTCGTAGATTTTTACGAAAAAGTAGAAATTTTTTTACATAGATACAAAATCCTATTTCAACACAGTCTCTCAATGAATATTGATAACAGGCTGTTGCGACATACAGTATGTAAAAATATATTATTAGGTATGATAAAGTATGAATAACAGGCAGTAAAATTGATTATATAAGTCCATTTTGAGTAGTGACGGATGTACACATTTTTCGATAATAAGCTATTCAAATTTTGCCACTAAATTGTAAAGATTAGTAGGGACCAATTTGTACAATTCAGTACTCTAGTTTGTTGTAACTCTTAACCTTAAATTTTCCATCCTTATAATCTGCCGCACTAGGCTCCAACAAAATTAAGTTAAAATTAAAATTAACCTATGGAATGGTACTAAAGCATGTCATGTTTTCCTTCAAGTACTAAATATAAAACGTATTATATATTTTATATTAATCAATGGTTTTTTTTTGATGGGTGAAAATGGTATGGTAACCCCGTCTGCGCTAACGGGATACGCTGGCGGAGCACCAGTGAAGGGTGAAAGATGAGAATGTAAACAGGCCAGTTAGCCCATCATGATGAATTCATCAGGAATTAACCATGATAGTTTCCAGGGAGAACCGCGAGGAGGTCGACTTGGTTGGGTATATTGCAAGGAATAGGATTCTCAGTCTGCATTACTAACAATCCCTTCCCCCCCCCCCCCCCCATTAATCAATGGTTTATAAAATGAATTAATCCATCACTTATTATTGATTAAATTCCTATTGCTATACTCGTATACGAATATTTTCACTCTCTAGGAAAGGAGAATATCATCATACACCTAGACCTATCCTTCTCCTACTCACACTCGATTTATTTCAAGTTCATCTCCAGGATTTTGAGAGAGACAATAGACTTCTTTTTTGGTCCTTGAAATCGGAAGTAGTGGTGAGATGTAATATTCTTACTTCATTACCACACGAAGTACCATAAAATTAATATAAATTCTGGATGAAAAAATAAAGAATCTGCATGGATCCTATTTAGTATTAAGATATGGATGATAAATAGAAAATAAGATCTACGTTAGTATTATATTATCTGTTGTATAGACTTACTTAAAAAATCTCTTTTTAATGAGTGATGTTGGAATGATAATCCCGCATGGCTATCAACATACGCTGGCGGAGTATCAGTGTGGGATGATAGGTGAGACTGAAAGCAGATCCGTTCGTTCATCATAGTCCATAGTCGATCTGATAGCAAAATATATACCCTATACATATTGCTAGCAATGGGGATGTTAGACCCCGTTATTAACAATCCTTTTTTAATAAAACAATATATTTAAAATAAAACAAATGAAGTTAGAGAGGCTCGGATTTTATTTGATCATTTCCAAATCTATGTTTTTCTTCGTGCTGTTCTTTCGCCCATTGAAATATATTAGTATCGCACAGGTTTGGCGTGTCTACTATTTCATCAATTAACGATAGAACTTTTCTTCTAAAGGCTCTCATTTGGCTTTCTGTTAATTCATTAATTTCTGGCAATAAACTAAGTAAGAACATTTTTCTTGATTCGTCAAATCTCTCTGCGGGGCAATGTTTTTGATGTAAAATTTTTGCATTATTTTCATACTGTAATCTAATTTTCTTTCTAGGTGGTTCTAGATTTTGTTGCATATCCGATTCTAAGTAGTGTTGTTGTGGAGATTGTCCACTTTCAACTTGATTGTCCAGGTATTCATCGTCGGTGTCATTTTCTATAGGCGTTTGAACCAAACCGAATTGTTTTGATAATGGTTTAACGAACGGTAGAACGAATTCCATGTCATCATGTAAGTAATATTTCTTTTTTACAGAACCATCTGCATTTGGCTTCAAACTTCTTATGAAACCGTAGCGTAAATTCTTCCATTTTTCTTTACATTCTCCAACTGAAAAATAAAATATAATTTTACGTTATTTTCATTTTCAAATGTGTTCAAAAAGGAGGAGGTTACAAATTATCGATAGTATGAATAAAAATTTTAAATTATTTATTTATCTATATTAAAATAATAAACATGTATTTATTTATTTAATGATATTATCATGTATTTAAAGATGAAGAAAGGATATAACGGGTTTAAATGAACAAAGTAGAATAAAATTTAGTAGGTCCAATACCTACCACTAACGAACAAATATAGAAGTAAGCAATTCACCCCTTTTAAAATTAATCTCTATACTATCTAGTTTCTCCTCGATAAATACAGAAACACAGTGACAGTGATACATATCAAATTATTGCAATAACTCATTGCAAGAAAATGCCACTCACTTTCCTCCTTTATTAAAAGGGTACAAATACGGCGACGCAGCTGAAAATGAGTCATTCGCAGTTTAGGTGTCAAAGGTTTAACACTAGCAGCGATCTATTAATTTGCCTAAAGATGTCTCCTTTAGAGGGGAAATACGTATCACAAAACGTGTGTGGACGAAATGACAGCCGGAGATAGATGAGTAATATGGAAGGTTGTAAAACTTCTAGTAATCAAAATAACATCTAGTTCAGTAAAATAAAGCAGAATAAAATAATGCAAGGGAAAGGAAAGTTGCTTGCATACTTTACAAATATGAATAGTTTAAATACTTATTTTACGGGAAATCAGATTTAAAAACTTGTATTACTAACTAGGCAGGTACAACTCTAAACTTTTATTGAAATAAGTTTTATGTAGGAACTCCGAATTGAAATTTATTTAGAGCCAATGAGGCTCTATAGTCTGATTAAGGGTAAAAATTGTTAAATAAATTACCTACATACAGTTGCGGCGTGTTAGTTACCTATTTAAAGTTATATTTATGTGTAGATTTATTTTCTTTACTTCATAGCAACAAAATAACTTTAGATATACGTATCAACTGTATCAAGTAAATCAAAATTTGAAAACATACGAGTACATAGTTAATAGGTATTATTAGTATAATTAATAATACTATTTCATGTAATATATAAAATTAAATTGAACTCGCATTAGTTTTATGGATTTTAACCCATATAGCTTAGTATTAAAGATTATAATAGCATAATAATATTATACCACAAATTACCATGTTGGTCGCGACCGACGTTTATAACCAGTTACAATTGACCTCAACGTTCGATTTTGATCTTTAGCAGTATATTAATAAGAACGACCGTACGTAGCATTGATGTTCGGGCGTTATCTAATGTAAAACGGACTCACCTGATAGTTTAGTTTCGTTGGCAACTTCGTTCCAAGCTCTGTCCGTGAGTTCTTTTTTGGAGTAATCACTCAAGTTATAGTTGTATAAACAAGGAAATCTTTCTATGGTTTTGACCAACACTAAGTTTTTGTCACCCATGTTTTTAAGGATGATGACGCGACGCGACAAGACATTGGCGATGCTCGCCGGGCAACTGGCGGTGGAGCACATTATTCGTTTGGGGGCATGTCGCCGACATGACGCGACGTGGCGGGAAGCCAGTACGTAGTGTTGCGTTGTTGTCGCTATGACGCAGTTTCTATACATACATAACACGTGGTAGTTTGTAGGTATGTATATATAGTATAGTCGCTGATAAACTCTACGTGGCGTTTAGTGCATATCGTTAGATCTTACTTATGCCTGATATTGTTAATAATAGAATTGAAATTATTATATTATTATAAGAAATTTGAATATTATTAGTTTTTTATAAAAGGCATATATGTTCTCTCGGATTCCCAAAGAGGGTTGACGTCAGGCAGGCGGCCGGTCGTAAAACTATAAGCCAAATCTTATTGTAATATGTATAAAAACATTACGCCGACCCCAAATAATAATTGGGATAAGAGAAGGACGATGATATAAAAATTTTTAGTATACTCTATTATGCCCATGGTATTGTTTATGTCTATAGGCGACGGTTACCACTTTCCATCAGGTGGCCCGTCAGCTTGTTTGCCATTCTAAGCTGCATAAATAATTAATTTAGAAATGGCAACGCACGAGGAATGCTATGCGTGTCAGAATATCTGTGTAGCTTATAGATGTCGATAGTTCTCGACTATCATTTACTAGGGTGGCTGCCAGCTACTAGAAAAGTTAAAACTTGGTACATTATTTATACATACATTCGTAATGAAAAAGGTGTTGAATTTAATTCTTTATAGCGACTCTAGCGTAAGTATCTACATACATGCATAAAAATGTCCATAAAAAATATTTTGTTGACTGTTGTCATAGTTACTGGAGAGTTTATCAAAAAATTTAATAGAGTCCGAGTAATATAGCAGTGAAACCTTAATGAATTATGAATAGTATTTACTACTCAACAACATCAGTTTGGTCCTGAAATGTCAAAACTTAGACGGATGGATTCTATAGATTTCTTCCAATTTCTCAAAGGTTCTCTTTAAGTTCTATGGAATCATTTCGCCATTGTATGTTCAATCTTTTTCATGTATCCAATGTAAAGTTTGTGCAATAAAGATCAATGAACGAATGAAAACTCTTTATTGTTCCTTTCAAAGAATGATCACAAAGATTATAAACCTATATAACAAGATGTCCTTTTCTAATGACGGTAGAGTTTTTGTAATTTGTTTGGGAAGCTACCATTGGCCATCTTGCTTCTCTCATAAAGCAGCAGTATATTTATTTCAGCAATCTCTGATATACAATATTATCATATTATTCTCATAGGTTTCCACATATTAGGGGCAAATAGAAGAGCAGAGCGCATAATAGAGCAATAGTAGAGCGGAGGTCAATTTCCAAGGTGTTGTCTTACAGGGGGAGATTGTTAGTTTTTATTGGGAAATTAGTGAAATCACATAGAACGGATGTATGATACCATACACTTCAAGAATAGCGCTGTTTATATTAATAGACAAGGGTAATCACTTCCTATTCGGTGGTTTGTCATTTTAAGTTTCATGGAAAATATAAAAATACCGTGTCACGAAATTCGTTCACGCTAATTTTCGAAACCGCTTGACGAATTTAAATTAAATTTTAATGTGTAAATATTGTTTGAACTTGAGAGTCAGAATTTTGTTTTTATTCTGATAAAATGGATTTAGAATATGGCAATACCCCTATCGCCATATTCTAATAAGAAATTAGACTACGAACATCTAGGAACATAATTCAGGAAAACCAACTGTGAGTTAAAAAAAAGGTATGTCTTAAATTGACAAGAACGAATCTAAGATCTTAATTACGTAAAGTGTCGGGTTTATCACAACATTATGGTCGATATATAAAATAAAGTTGTGGGTGCTACGTTCAAATATTTCAAATTTAGCCTTACCTTAACTGAGAGTATATAAAATACTAGATTTGGCGCAATATGAGCGAATTACAACTAAACCGCATTGCCATTTTAATATTTATGATTTAATTACAGATTTTATGACAGAGTCGTATTTCAAAATAAAAACTAAACATTTTAAATTATACTTTATTATAGTGGTTCCCAAACCTCTCTGTCGTTTAATTTCTTGTACATCTTACTAACATATTAAAAGAGAGCAATTTTGAAATATAGGGTACGGTTAAAAACATTAAATAAAAATAGTCCACTCATATTAAACGTTGAGAAAACATTGACTACAAGTAGAACTAGACGTTAAAGTTTTTCAATGAATGAAAACGAAATGACTACCTACTTTGCTTTGTTGGTATACGCTAAAGACCTATCATTAACAATGAAGCCAGATCAGTTGGCGCATCGTGACGAATTCATCAGAAATTACCTATGATGGTATCCAGAGAAGACCGCGTGGAAGTTGACTTTACAAGGTATATAAATTATTAATAACAATCTCCACCGGCGTAGCAATTTTATTCCACCAACACTTACATTCCAACCGGGAAACCTTATGGGGGATTGTTGGTAATGGGAAGCAGCAGCCCATTGCTGTAGCGTATACGAATAGCGCAGGCGAGGTTACTACAAGTGGAAACGTTGATAAAGACAAGTGTTTTTGGTGTGAATGACAAAGTTGCGCTCAAATGTTGAAGTTAAAATAATATTCTAATATAATTAGATATCTCTATCCATAATTTGGTATCATTTATCTTTTCGAGATATTATCAGTTTTTACGGATCTGTATGTAATATACTAGGAGATCATTATATTTAGAAATAATAGAGACATGTAAAAATTCAACTTTCTAACAATATTGAATAAAACTTCTAAAGTTAGCTAATCAGAATCGAAGAAAATGTTACGAAAATTATAGCTTCTGACACTAACGCAATATGGTTGGTTTTCCACAAGCAAAATCATATACGCAGATTATATAAATTTTAAAATCGGATTAAAATATCTATCATTACCTAGCTAAAATAGAACGCGTGTGCATTAAAGTTGATGACAATGAATGCATGACGATAAAATTAGATATTCAATAACGGGAAGGGGGTCGGAGGTCCGCCATTTTGAAGTTTCGGTCAGGCGAGGGCTATGAGCGAAGGGGCCGCGCATGCGCAATGCAAGCACCCGCACCCTGTTTGGGCCGGGACCTCTGTAAATGCGATGTCAAAAAACACGTTATTCTCGCCCCTCATTCTACTAACCTAGTACCTACGTCTTAATAAAAGGGATTAACGATAAACTCAGTGGTATCAGTGACTGTCGTGTGAATCGTCCTCAGTTTAACAGCAAGGATAATCGGTCTTGTAGACTAGAAGCGTTGAACTTCCGAACAATGACAGAGAACGGCTGATCGGACTGTGATTCATAAATTCATTGCTGATAGTGGTGTGTAGTACATTTCTGATTGGTCCATCTACGGATATTTTTCTAGATGTGAATAATCAATGCTTGAATGAAACTTAATAATATTGTGGTCAAACTGTTAAAAATACTATAATACGAACATTAAGAATTTCTTTAAACGGATTTACCGAGGAGACGTAAATAATTATGGGATGACAGCAAATACGGATTCATGGAAAAGGTTTGGCGTCGAGTCGGTCTCCATTCCTCCCGCAAGAAGAGGGATGGAAGCGGGACTAGTAGGGAAGTAACTGCAACTGTACCACAAGAAGCAGAGTATCAGAACATTCACACATTGCGGACAGCTGACTTGATCAGACAAAGACAGGGCGAGGAGAAGTCGACGTTGCGTTCCTCATACATTATAAGGAACGGAGATAATCTAATATTGGTAGAACGACGACGCAGACGACGCCGCAGAAGCGGAACTAGGGCATCTTCAGGTGGAAGACATCATACTCCGCCGGTCGAGGAAAATACTAGATCGGAACAGAAACGCCGACCACCTGCTCGTTTGAAGATCTTCGGGATACAATGGCCTTTACATTCTAGCGAATCTAGGTAGGTGATATTATATTATTTCTTGTTAACCGGCTTTAAAAGTAGAAAGTTGAAAATTCGACGCTATATTTATGCATATATTATCTGCCAATTTTTTTATTGGAGAGATCTTCACCATTAAAATTGTTGATTTTTTTTTTATGAAAAGGGTTTATTTTCATAAAGAAAGATTGTGTAACACGTTTTTTCATCCCCAATGAAATTGTACGTGGCAACTGCAAAAAGTACAATATACAAGAAAAAGAAAAGATAAATCTGTAATAAAAACCTACACGCACCACGCTTTCCTCCCGTATGGTAATGTTTTTTTTGTAACCATGAAGGTGGCAAACAAGCATACTGCCCTTCTGATGGTAAACGGCCACCTCACTGTATATTATGCATGTCTTAAACATTATAACATTTTCTATATCCTTTGCTTATGGTTAAAGACCCGTACCTATCCAGCAACGGAATTTTATTATATTGTACTGATAAACTAATATTTACTATCTTGTTGTTTTCATACTGATTTTGCCAAGACTGAGATAGGTTTTTAAGTGATTTTCAATAAGGGAAGAGGACATCTCAGGTGACGTCCCAAATTCCTAACAATAAAAAAAAATATTTAAATTATTAGACATACATATTTTTTAAATTGATTGAGTTTATTTCCTTTTTAGTCTTGTATTAATTTTGTAACTATTTAAAGTAGCCGTTGTTATTTGCGAAGCAAAAAATTGTTTATTTCTTAGAAAATTTTACTTGTAGATAAATAATTCGACATTCTAAATATTTGAAATATTTGCAATCAAATGTGTCTACGAAGGTGCTGTGTTATGCAGAGTAAAATATACTTATTATGTGTCTTTGGAAAATATCTTATGCTAATAATTTTCGCTAGGCTGGTTTCTTACTCTATGGAGCGTAATGTTCAGTACACTGCAATACGGTAGATTGCACGACATGATTGGTGACTGACATAAGTACACTTGTAATATGGTTGCATTTGCGGCAAAGATATAATTAAACACGCTGAATGTAAGTAAAAAAAGTTACGCTTCCATTGGATGTTTTAATTGGTGTTTGAAATGGAAACTTAGTTGGTTTACTTTGCATGGAATAACTTTAGAAATATTTAAATTGTTACTGCACAATCGATTTCAATTCGAGTTTTTCTACTCTTGGATGGATGTGTTGTACTTTATCAATATTCATTTTGTATTCTTTTTGTAATATCTACCCACATGTAATGCAATTTTTGTAAATATTCTAATGTCAGCTACATTAGTATAAAATAGTAATAAACAGTTGGATATGTACCCATCTACCTTTCAATAGAAAAAAAAAAAACTGTAAAAATGTAACTTTATCAAATTTATATTATTTGCGACCATGTGTAGTCCGTTCTAATTTATAATAATATATTTTCATAAGTGCGTGGTGTGTGTTTATTTGCTGATGCATTATATAATCATAGCGCCTGTGAAATTTGGTGTTTATATCCTATGTGAGATGGAGGACATAGGCTACTTTTTATCCCTATCAGTGAACATTTCCAGGAGAAATATAGTAAGTTAATAAGTAATTTAAAGTTTTACTCAGCGAAACAGTTAGGTACTTCAATTCTAATAAAATTAATAGGAATTCAACAACCATCTAATATGGATTACACCATTGTAAAAATGATTATCAATACAGGTTACTGCGCAATACTCACACAACAAAAAAGACAGTATATACGCACATAATATAGACACAAAAAAAGTAATGCCAAAATGAGATCCTCATCTTTTTGAAGACACATAGGTTATAATATGAAGACTGTTCTGACACCTCATTCTTTTAAATCTGTCATGAAGCTGTAAGTTCGATTAAAGAAAGAATCGCAAAGCTTGCATCGCAAATCAAAGTCAGTGTAATCTTTTTAAGGAAATATTCTAATAACTATGTACTTTTGCTAAAGAAACATGAATTGATAAACGAAAAAAACAATTGAGCCCCCATATATTATTAACACCACGCGTCTGACTGTACGGTAGATTTAAAATTATAAGTAATTTTTGTACTTTTAATTTCATTTTTTTTTTCTAATATATTCTATAGAAATATTAGTTTTACATGTGGTTGAGAATTTCAGTTTATATACATAGTACATGAGTATTAAAAACAATGCATGTTTTTATTCATTCATTCTCTTTCTGGGGAAGGCGTGCAAAATGCTTTCAGTGTAAAAATAATTCAATTTTCACACATATCACTTTCCTACGCTCTTTGGTAATTATTCAATGTCACAACACTTCCCTGTGCGTATCAGTATATTTGGGTTCGTGACAAGGGACTGGGCCTAACTCTGTCAATTTCTCGTTATATTTGATGCATGGATGTAAACAGTATAAGTGATAAAGGTACAGAAAATTATAAAGTTTTGATATTCTGTTATTACTTACACTTTTGCCCTTTTTGTATTATATATAATTAATTATGATATAATCGGCGGTTCCGCCTGCGTGAAATAGGGTATAAAGTATCCTATGTAATAATTCAGAAATCGATCTATCTGTTCGCTTGATTTAATTAAAAATCATTCAGCCTTTTAGATTGCGCTTAGTGTCAACCATGTGAACATAATTATATACGTATTATATATATTTGAAAAACATCGTCTGCTTTCATTGACAGTCGGGTAAATATTTATCGTCGTCGGTATAGCATTGTTGTTTTATTTAAACAGTTTTTGAATAGAATAATATTTTGTTTTTATTAAATGTAAATGGCTTGTGAGGCCCAGATACAAAGCATTTTTATCGGATGATCGCAACGCGTCTCATCGAGGTTATTAGTGACCCGAGAACTGGTAGCAATTTTGCGCAAAAGATAAGTTTAGCAATCCAAAGAGGTAATGCTGCCAGTATCTTGGGTACGTTGCACCGATGTGGTGCGTTGAGAGACTACGAGTATTTATAATTAATTGTTAGTGTTGTTATTCGAAAAAAAATATAAGTTTAAATTATTGTAAAGTACAACTTAATTGTAAAAATTAAATGATATAATTAAACGTTAATTATATTATTTCACATTTTAATTATTAAAACAATATCATAGATCAAGAATGAGATAATACCACTCTTACCTGTTTACTTAATTATTAATAATTAAGTAACAAACTTATCTACAAGTGTATAGTCGATATAAGACCAATTCCTTTAGGGAGATGAAGTAGCGAGAACATCGATTTAATAAACACTTTGTATCAATCAGATAATATAAATTTCGAATTATGTGAAACTAATTTACGCAAGTTTATTTCTATACAACGGAGTAGTAACGTTTTATATTACTATTTCTAATTTGGTAAAAGAAATTCTTGAAAAATTGGTTTGTTTTATGTAGCTGCAGCTGTGTTTGTTTATATATTGTTATTGTAGCGTGAACGACGTTGCGGGCATACCTATAATTATAATTATCATATCAGTCTTTAACTATTCACTGGTGAAATTAAGCCTCCCTTTAGGGGGTTTTTGCCAGCAGTTGCCACGCTTGGCGGATTGGCAACCGCTGTTAGGCTTTGGAGATGTTTTAGTCCCTCCCTTAGTTGACTCTTACGACACACACGAAACAGAAAGGGGTGTCCTATTCTAAGCCGGGACCACACAGCATATATATAGCTATAATACTCATAATTTCTTACTTACCTATATAAAACATTGTGACGTTCTACGAATATTGAAATTTATTCATAATTTTTAATTGATGGATATTCCGATTTTGTTGTACTCGTAAATGTAAAAATAACCACTATGCGGTTTCAAAGAAATTTTCTCCTACGAACGCTCAAGCTGTGAAATGAGCTCCCTGCTGAGGTTTTTCCTAGAGACTATAATATGGGGTTCTTCAAAAAGGGTATATTAAGGTTTCTTCAGGTTCGGCAACGCGCACGTGGATACCCCTATGTTACAGGCGTCCATAGGCTACAGTGACCGTTTATCGTCAGACGGGCTGTATGCTTGTTTGCCACCTTCGTGGTATAAAAAATGCGTAATCAAATAAAATACATGTAAATCATTCTGGCAATGTTTACAATTACAATATAATTAATATATGTTGTATATATTTCATAGTGTTGTAACATTTATACATGAAATTGTATACGGTTATGAAATCATCCGTATACTTATCTTCCGAATGTTAAATTAAATTTCAAACTTATTTTTAATCCATACAAATTTGATTACTGCGCTTGTAAAGCAATAAAACCGATCTTAAAATTCGCTATTAAGCTTTAAATAAATTAATCACCAGCAGGCTCTCAAACAAAGTTCCGAATTTAATTTTTAGTTATCATTGCAAATTGATTCTTGACAAGCGCGGTATTATCATGACGTGATAGATACCTCCATCACGTTTGTAGCTGTTAATGGAATTTAGGATTGGAATTATTAACACTTTCATCCTATTAATATTATAAATGTGAAAGTTTATAGTTGATGAGGTAAAGATGTCAAGTTTTTTTTATTCACGCTTACGGCCGAACCGATTTAAATTTAAATTGTTGTAGATTATGAAGCTTCTTTTTACACTAATTCTCACGGGTAAAGCTACATCACCGGTAGTGGAGATTAAACCTAATTAATGTGTTAAACTAGATTTACTTCATACTTTTTTTTGGTTTATAAAGCGATAGCTAAGTAAGAACGCGATTAAAATTATAAATCAAAACACAGGACGTCGTTTTGACATGTTAAGCAATAAAATCTGAGTACCTATTTTTGTGCCAATTGTGATTATAACGAAACTAATACAAAGGTAATTTTCTTAAGATTGAATTTGATGTAGGTTACTAATTTATTATGCACCTGATACTAGTGAAGTTAAATTCCGAGTTTCAGTGGCAGGCTTGTCATTGTAAATTGATTCTTGACAAGTGCTCGTTCGGCCAAATAAATCCGTGAAGTTATAGATGTTAATAGAATTCAGGTATGGGATTATTGACATTTTAATGGATACTAAACGTTACGTAATAGAAATTCTATGGTTATAGCTGTTGAACCTCTGTGAATGTTTTAAATTAGTTTTTTTTTTTATGGAACATTTAATGACAATAAAGTAGACGGACCACATGTAGGAAAATTGCAAATGTCGTCTACACACAAGAATACCATGGGTTTCATAGAATGCGTTCACTATGATACCTATGACAAGCCATTATGTATTTTCATTGATAAGATTATGGGTTGATGTGGATAATGATATTTTTGTTATTTTTATTTAACAAATGTATAAAATACTACATCATGATATTTTTAAGTTAAATTGATTGCAATAGAATACACTGATTAACTTATCTAGCTAGTTCTAGAAATTTTTGCATTTAGTTTCGATATTGGACTGTGCGTACATAATAATGTATTTATTACTATAATTAAAGGCTTACCAAACACGTATTAGTATACTAGCTGTATCCCGCAGTTTTGCCCGTGTGAATCAGTTTATAGTGTCTTGTGTTGAGTTACGATACACCTAACATTGTTACACAAGTAGTATCAAATTTAATAGAAATCTATTCAGCCGTTAAAGCATGACTGAGTAATTAACATACAAAAAATCTCAATATCTTTCACATTTATAATATTAGTAGGATGACTACCTGCATATTGCAAACTTTAAATTACAATTTTAACTTCATAGTGCATACATAATTAGTTTAGTCTAGCCTCCATTATAACAATTAACTATGTTAATTTTGCTCTAGGCACACGTCAATCACTCGGCGTTTTTGCCGCGGCAGGCGTTCCCGCGAGGATAACGAGCTTTACCGCTCCAATAGCTTCAAGTTTGAAAGATTCACTAGAGAGCCACCTGCGGATGAGTTTGCCTCTGGTTCACAGGTTAGTTCATTTATTATTTTCTAATATATCATTATTTTTCATCAATGTTAAAATTATTAGGAAGATGTAACATGATAAACGTCAAGAATGAGTGTAAAGAATGAGCCTCTTGTTGAGGATTTCCCTAGAGATTACTGCGTTCTTCGAAAAGGACATACGTATATAATAAGATTTATTAAGAGTAGGCAACTCGCGCGTGACACCCATAGTGTTGCAGGTTAGGTAACTGTTTACGATCAAATGGGTTGTATATTTTTTGCCGTTATTATACGTATATAAATGAAAATTCTTTATACTTACCCTCAAAAATAAGATACAGTTAAGGAAATGTAATCTGTATAATAATAATAATTTATTTATTTGAAATGTGGTCTGTACAAAAATGGAAGAAATAGATAGAAGCATAATATAAATAAAGACCAATATGTTGTTGTTAACAGTATATTAAATTTATATGTAAAACAAATAGTACGTCTATTTGTATTTGTAAGTAAAATTCCATTTACGCATCTCTTTGCATGGCTGTCTTTTGGTTTGATGGGTCAGATTGGCAGTGAATTGGCTACAATAATGTAGTCTTCAGGCTTAACAGTGCATGAAGGGTGTTTTAATAAGAGAAAAAGGAAAAACGAAAATTCTTACACTATTAGTTGGGTTATCAAACTCTTAATCTAAAACAAATAATTAAAAATTCTTTAATATTATTTTATATGTTAAATTTGTATGTAAAATTTCGGCACGAATTCTCAATTTTATTTAAAACTACACATAACAGTTTATTTTTTTTATATAGTACCTTTTTGTTTACTAATCTAATTCAAATATATTTCTGATCATATATTGTTTTCAATTAAAAATTGTAAAAAAAGTACCTTTTCTAAATTAATCTAGAGTCATATTTATGAATGAAGCAATTACTGTATCATGAAGGTAGTCAATATAATGTACAGATAAACGAATAATATTAATAACATGTATTTGTTTAGATTTTGTTTACCATGGATATTTTTCAGAAACGATATTTAAAATTGTTTAATTGGGTTATAATTTCAATGTTAAAATGATTTAAAATTATTACAAAAGTACTTTCAAAGTTTTTAAGATTTGAGAGTACAATTCAATTGCAAAAGTACCCACCTAATACAAGACATTGTATCAAGAAAGTCGCCGTTGAATACTTCCTGTATTATTCAACAGACTCTAACCGAGAACTCAGACTTTTAAATGAATTTCGTAAGAACCTACTGTTGTTGTCTTGAATTTCTCAAACAGCACAATTAATAAATAGATATTCGTGCACATTTAGATAATGTGAAAATGTATCTAAGTATCTGTCTATTGTGTTTACTTATCGTATTTGTGGTGGTGTGGTAGCGGATGTCGTATGAGACTAAGGGAAGGCGAGGGATGGGCAGCAGCGTCCTTCTTAAATCATCTCTAAAACCTAATTGCGGTTGCTAATCTGCCTGCCAAGCGGAATATTGGCAACTATAGGCTCTATTGGCAAACTCAAAGGGAGAGGCTTGTGTTCAGCAGTGGACATTTAAAGGCTGATATGATGATGATAATAATACTATTTGTAAAAATTTGGACATAGGTTATCTTTGAACTGGGAATGATTTTTTCAGATCATTATTATTAGATCAATCATCACAAGATTTTTAATGTAATATCAAGAGTTATAAGCAAAATAGAATTAAATTTGTTATTATACGTAGTAAGTATTTTGGATGCAGGATATAAGCTATTTTTTATCTCTATCAATATTTATATCTTGAATCGTTGACGAAATTCCGGCAATATTCGATTAAATGTAATTCTGATTCTTTTTAGACGTTTTTTTATTTTATATTTATATGTACTTCGATTCTGAGTTTATTATTTTGCTAATCTCGTATTCTGAGATTCTGGTATTCTGCGAACGCGTGGGATAAGAACGTAACTTGAAGCACAAATAAAACTATAAGTAGGTATGTAGTATTTATGTAACAACTCGAAATAATGGAACCCTTGGAAAGACATAATAAGGTTATGGATTATTTCTCGTTAAATCTATCGTTTATCTTGTGACGGTTCGCCTATAGTACAATAGGTTTAATACCATAAGTACATAGAAAAGAAACAGGGGTTCCTATGGGTGACCGCTACGAAAACTGAGCTATTTAATATAAACAAACTTTAAAGTCAAGGTTCACAATAGCGTACAGAGAAGACGTTACCATATATGAAATATTGACACAGAAAGGAAACTCCTTTGATGTGTTTCCAAAGTTTAGTGGATGTCACAAGAAAATTTAATAAATTAAACAAAAATATATTATATTTTATATATAACCAAATTATAGTTTACCTTTTATCATCAGATGTAAAAATAGGATGCATACAACACAGTTTAATAAGGTTTATGAGAGCCTTTAAAGTTTTATAAATTCGATAATCAATTTAATATAAAATACCAAAATACGTTAACATATAATTAAATTGAATTTAAAGAAAAGTTCAGTTCGAATAATAGGCTAAATCTGATTATTGAAATATCTACCCTTCGGTGACATAATCTATGACGTTATTAGAGAAAGAATAGAAAAAAAAAAAAAAAAAAGGAGGGCCGGCAGATCGGCGGGCGCGCGGGAGTCGGTTTTGAGGGATTGCGCGATAAAAAAGAAAAATGAAAAAAAGAAAAAAAAATGGCGCAGGAGTCGTGTTTTAAGGAACTGCGCAATAAAATAAAAAAATAACTAGGATATAGATCTAGGAGGGACTGGTTCGATGAAGGGGTTTGAGATCTTAGTGTATCACTATGGATTAAGTGTGTGAAATTAATCAATAGAAGACTGGAGAATCCGGTGAGCTTGTTCCATTTATTACTACGTAGTTAGATTTTTGACTGTGATCACAGGCAAAGTCTATACTTAATATTTTTCCCAACAACTATTAAAATACGTATTTAGTCGAGTCCATATACCTTTAGGTAATGCGTATATCGTTAAATACAATCACATTTGAACAAAGTTTACATCAATATAATTTACGTACTTACGTTATTCTACTCATATACAAAATCCAATTATATGGTCGTTTGATAGAACTTCATCAATTTGATTCAATGTTCTAATTGTCCAGTTTTGGAAAATACTTATTAAATCAGCTATTAACCTATTATAATATTAACTAGTTTCATATCTAGTTATTATAAAGTATTTATTTATTGAGGATAATAGACTAAAGTGACTATGGTCTGGTCTCATTGCTAGGGAAACAGCCATTGATGAGAGAGAGGGGTTATTGAGTGGCGACCCTGTAAATGCAAGTGCGGTGTGGGCTACCTCCATTGTTTGGAGTGACTGTTTTATGTGTATTGTGGGCCGTTCCTTGTGTCAGTCGGTGGAAATTGCCTGTGTTCAGTCGTGGGTTGGTGATGGTTGAGACGATGATGATGATGAAATATTTGTATTTATTACACTATTACAGTGTTGGTTTGGAATATCTGTTCATACTTAACGCTTCATGGTGAAGTGTTTTTATACCATTACTCGGTCGACCAGATTAATGATTCTTAGTCTATATTTGATTATCCATGACTACATGTGGGGATTTGTTTTACACCAGATGTACAAAGAGACAGCTTAACTGTTGCAAGTGATATTATGTGAATGTAATACTTTTAATACATTATTAATTGTGTTACTAGATAAATTCATGTGACTGTGGGGTGTTTATGGTAAACAAGCCTGTATTGTTTAAATAGATATTTTGTCTTGATTTATTATAAACTTTAATATTGATTTTGTTGTAGTAAGCAAGCTGATAATAACAATTCTGTGTGTATTACTGATTATTAATAATATTTAATTATGCTGATATTATAGGTGTGGATTTATTTCCTAATGGTAATAAAAGTACTAAAAGATTCTCTGACTATAGTTACTCTTAACTAGGTATGAGGTACAGTATAAAATTAGTACTAAATGACAAGTGTGAGTTATTTATTATTTATTATATTATTTTACTCATATTTAGGAAGAAAGTTGTCATGGCGATAAGGTTTGTATGTGTGTTGTTTGTTCATGCTATATTGACTAGACAAGTTCAGACAGGGTTAAAATTAGTGAATCTTTATTGGATTTATATTTAATATACATGTTTTGAATATTTTATGGGAATAGTATGGAGATATACAAGTAGTAAAATATAATATTAGTATTTTATAAATTTAATTATTGAGTTATATGTTTATGTCCGACTGTATCCAAGGAGATATTATCCTATTAATATCAAGTTAGGACAATTACTTTAAATATTAATAAAGCAAACACTAACACTGATTATTCACTTCTTTAATAAATTTACATTAGAGGTTAGGAATCAAATAGATAGCATATTGGGAAATCTTCACCACACATGTATTTGAGGAATGTTCTTGATAATTAGTACTGTATGTATATATTATTGCAAGTACAATTGCAATAAGAATGTTAAACTTCTAATCTTCTGTTCATTCTTGAATTTGAAAGTAAGCTTGGCTACTGATATGAATATAAAACTGCAGCATTACTAGATACTATTAATTATTTCTGGTGTAAACCATGATTATTTATGTTACTGATAATTTAGTTGTATATTACGGTTGATATATGATGATTTTATATTTAGTTATATTAAACAAATACAAATAAACAAACTTGCTAGTATTTGTTACGTTGACAGTTGTGATAGATAATCAAAATTCAATTCAATACATCAATACGTCATTCAATACGTCATTAATGTGACAGATGTCAAACAAAAGGAGATTATACACGTTATGATTCTATATCTAAGTCTATAGAAAATTTTTATAATTTTCTGTTATTTTATAATAACTGTAGGGGAAATATTGGAATTATTTATATGAGAAATTTCACTTAAATGATATGATAATTATTTAAAGACCTAATTTCTTAGGGATTTAATCATGATGATTTAAACACTAAAACACTTGTTTATCTGAGAAATCCTCT